TGCTCCGCATCTGCTACATGGCTGAGCAGATCGCTGACCTTTCACCAAATTGCTGCCACGAAAAAAATCTTAAATTGCGGCGATCTTAAACGCGACAAAAAGCGTGTACATTCTAACCACGTGCGAGGCGAAACTCTCAAAAACACGTGCAGAACGCGTGTAGCGTGGGAGCAAAGGAACAGGTTTTTTAAAGACAGGTTGAAGGGAACATCGGAGAGGTCAACATTCTTGTAACGAGTTTTGCCCCCCCATTCAACTGCAGCGGCCGACCCCGCAGCGCCCTCTACGGCGTGGTCCTCCCCTGCCATCCCTCCAACGTTCAGTCTACATTGGGTTGCCTCAGTATGTCACAGAAAAGGTCTATTGCCGACTTTTTTTCGCCTTCGAGCAAGCGGGCCAAGCAAAAAGCCGTCTCCCCCGAGCTTTTTGCTTCCACAGCAGAAGATTCGGAGACGCTTCAGGAACAAAAAAATGCTCAGTGCTTTGTTTCAATTCCGCTTGAAGAGACTGTGCGTAGCATCGCGTCTGACGATGCTTGCCCGTCCTCGTCAGGGCACATGGACCGCGAATGTGATGACCTTTCCGCATCGTGTGCAGCAAGACATCAACCTGATTCTGCGACAGAATTCACCGCCTCTGATGTGAATGCCGACCACGCAAGCCAGTTGGACATTTCGAAATTCAAGACAGAGCAACCCACACAGCCAATACTGAACCCATTTCCATCTAAGAAGTACGGCAAATTGAGCAGGAGCTTCAACTCAAACTGGTACCGCCTATTTCCATGGTTGGAGTACAGCGCGCAGGCTGACGCAGCTTTCTGTTACCCTTGCAGAATGTTTTCAACTGGTGACAATGAGAAATCTGCATTTGTCAATGGTGGATACAGTAATTGGAAAAATGCCCTAGAAAGAGACGGTGGCTTCAGGAAGCACGAAAACTCACTCGTGCATAAGACTTGCCAGGCATCGTGGGTTTCCTTCATGCAGATGAAGGCGGGAGGTGCAGGAAAATCGCCTCTATATAGCAAGAGTTGCCGATATATTGCGATTTACTGCCGTTCAGGGAATCTCTCAGAGGGGCCACGATGAAAGTGCCAGAAGTGAAAACAAAGGAAACTTCGTTGAGCTCTTGAACTTGTTCGCTAAATATGACGACATTATAGGAAAGAAACTGAATGGTGGAGCAGCGAATGCGAAGTACGTTCATCACTCGATACAAGACCAGATCCTCGAAATTCTCAGCCACATCACATTAACAAGTATAAAGGAAGAGATGAAAAGCTCCCAGTGCTTTGCACTTATCGTCGATGAAACCAAGGATCTAAGTAAGACGGAACAGTTGTCAGTGGGAGTAAGGTACTACCTCAATGGGGCTGTCTTTGAGAGGTTCCTTGGATTCCGCAACGCTGAGCAATTGAATGCTAAGTCGCTCCTGAGCTACGTCAAGGAAACACTGAATCGCTGCGGCATTGATTCTCAACTGTGCATTGCTCAAACATACGATGGTGCAAGTGTCATGAGCGGTACGTCACGAGGCGTCCAGGCACTATTCAGGCAGGAAGTGCCGCAGGCCGTGTACGTACACTGCATGAGCCACCGTCTCAATCTTGTCATCGTGGATGTCTGCAAGGCGATAAAACCGGTGAGGGATTTTTTCTCTCTTTTGGAAAGCCTTTATGTATTCCTAAGTGAATCTGCAGTTCACTCCCTGTATGTAGATGTTCAAAAAAGGTTGTCTTTGCCTGTGACAGAGCTGCAGCGTCTCAGCGATACACGATGGGCCTGCCAGATAACGGCTTGCACAGCTGCCACGAAAAGCTTTCCTGCCATTCTTGTATGCCTCAGCGAAGTCATCGCTACAAACAGCAGGCGGGCAACGGAAGCCGGGGGTCTGCTGGAGCAAATGAACTTCTCTTTTCTTTTCCGTTTAAGGCTATTCACCAAACTACTCAGCCGCCTTAAGGTTTTTTCGGACATATTACAAAGTAAAGACTGCAACCTTAGTCAGGCATGCCTCATGGCGCACACTGTCATTGACGAGTTATCCGAAATCAGAAATTCGCAGAGCGCGTTTGACACTGTGTGGGAGCAAACCTGCACTATTTCTGAGGAGAACGGGGTCCCCCAAAGGGAAAAGCAGAGAACGAAGCGCCTTCCGCTCCATTTAGAGCAGTTTGTATTAAGTGAAGGACGGCCCGTTGAAGAAGAGTCTCCAGATTCAAAAGAAACTTTCAGAGTCAAAGTTTTTCTGCCCGTTTTGGACCACCTCATTGTGGAACTGACTAGGCGATTTGCGGAAAATAATGACGTACTCTGCGGAGTCAGTGCCCTCCACCCTCAAAGTGAGAATTTTATGGACGTCTCCTTGCTCAAGCCTTTCGCTGAGCACTATGCATGCGACATCAACAGCGTTGAAGTTGAATGCAAGTTGGTAATTAAACTTCTTCAGCGCATCGAAGCCGAAAGGAAGTGCAAGATAGAAACATTGCTGCAATTGGTCACCGTCTTGGAAGAGTATAAGTTAGCCTTTCACGAACTGCACAAGCTAAGTGTTATCGCCGTGACGATACCGGCATCATCATCTTCTTGCGAGCGCACATTTTCGTGCCTTCGAAGACTGAAGACTTATCTTCGCAGCAAAATGACTAACAACCGTCTGAGCGACCTAGCTGTGCTTGCGGTAGACCGGTCTTAGCCAATAAGATAGACCTTCAGCGTGTTGTTGACATGTTCGATGCTGCACACAATAATCGGCGTATACGTCTGCACTAGTATGCTGGTAAATGAAATTCTATAGTACCTTTGCGGCGCTTTCATGGGAAAAATGTTCGGGCACGGAAACCCGCTTTGCCATCGAATAATTCCGGCCGTTTTTCCTCGCTTTCAAACAAACCGCAAAAGGTGCCCCGCTTGTCTGAGGCCACGTTGGTGCCCCGCTTGTGTGGTGAACAGTGCCTAGTAGGAGAGCTGACACGTTTGTGAAAACTGGTGTACTGTTTAGTCAGATGTGAAATGACTTACCTGCCTATGCGTGATCCAGTTTTACAAATCAATGCCCTTCATTTGTTTATTCTTTTGCTACATTGCTTCTTTTTTCTTTTCCCATTTCTAACGTTTAGCAACACCAGCAGGCGCAAGAACAGCCTTTTAACATTTTGTAATCTGGCGCATCATTACGAAACTTGGAATTGATATGAACATTACTTAGTGGTGTTAGTTATCTCTGATGCTCTGAAATGACTCTTTCGAAGCTATATTGTGATCTAGTTAACACGTGTTATTTTGTTGCTGCTGGTTACCAAGCTTAATTTCTTTTATTTGGTACTGCATTTTGTATATCGGTTGTTTGACAAACTGTATCAATTTTCATTTTACTAGCAATACAACTGCTGTGTAAACATGCTAAATATTAAGTTGTATCCTACTGCGTTGCTCGAATATCTTACTTACACTGGTGTGTTTAGAACCTGGGCCTTTAGCCCAGCCAAACGGTTTCAGCCACCGACTAATTGGTGTCCTCTTGTGTTTTCGGAAGATTGTGGTGAAAGATTGTGGTATTTCATGACTAAGCAGCACTTGCGTGCAGCAAATGAAGCAGTTGCAGTTGAGCTAATAGATAGCTATCCTTGGCGAGATTGCAGTGAACTGCGCATGGCTGTAGATACAGCTACAGTGTACTAGACAGCAAAGACAGCGAAGCAGCATACCGGCGTCAAACCGGTTGACGCTGATGACGTAGCTGACGTCGTGACACGCAGGCTTGACAAGTTCTAGGAGGCGTTGCTTCGGCTCGACTTCTCCCAGAGGCTTGGCTGGCTACCTCCGACTACATCACAGCTGCGCCCAACTTCTCAAGTTGCTATCGTTCTGGTCATATTATCAAGGAAGCTATAGATCAGCCGTTTTTCGCCCAGCTAAACCCATTCTAACCCGTATAAAGCTAGCGCCTAGGTGATTTCTTTTGTAAGAGTGTAAGAGTTGATTTAGATCAAGAGAAAATCTTTCAGATAATATATTACGTTGAACTCACCTAAGCAGAACAATACGCATGTTTATTGACGTGTTGAGCTACTGAACGAAGCGTAGGTGACATGTAACAGGACATATCGTAGACTTCCTTCGAAGAAGTTGAGCGTTTATAAAAGAAGAAAAGGGGAAGAGAGTAAGACAGTGAAAATACAACGCATAAGCTCCCCACTTGCTTGCCCCCCCCGTAGGAACTCACTTTTCGTGGTTGCCCCCTCAGTAAAAACATCCTGGCGCAGCGCCCCTTTTTTCTCTAGGTGTCTAGGAAACTATAATCACATCACTAGTTGTCACAATTTGTAACATCATCATGACTTGTTCATTGGCACTTGTGCCTTCTCTCAAGTGGCCAGCTGAGGGGAGCTCACACAGCTTCAATAACGAATTCCTTGCGTCAAAATGGTTGATTTCTCGCAGAAGGAGCACATAGTAAGCTATTCATTCTTTATTATTGCACACAGAGAATGTTCATTTAACAGTGGAAACTTCTGTATTGATGTACAATTTTATGAAGCATAAATAGTAGGAAATGGCTACTAAACTTGGCAGGCAGATGGCAAAGCTAGCATTTCCTCGGCTGTTGTTTGTCGTCTGTTTCTTTTGCAGTTGGTTATTATGCCAACAAGGTGAGTGGTCTTTCATTTCAGAATATATTATGTGTGAAAGAGATCCACTTTTAGAAGTTTTATTTTAGAGAAGCTTCATTTGCACAGTTGTATCCGCTTATGAGACGAAGTTCCACTTAATACCAGTCCACAAAATCCTCGCGAATGCATATAGTACAATCATTCCCAGCATTCCAACGGCACCCCTTAAACCGGTACTGACACCTTTTTTCGGAGGCGAGCTTACTTTGCCCTCCATACACATCTCCTGTATACAGAGAAAGCTGTGAGAGAGAGTGACGCTCAGCAAATGCTGATAATATATTTGATTTTGATATTTAGGTTAATTTTCTTGTGGCACACTTACCGACATCTACACTACTAATCCAGGCGACTTCACGCAGCAGCCTGGCTAGTTTTGATGCATCAAGCACAAAACGCAAAACGCAAAAAAATTGCAGCTTGCACCTCGTCTTCTGGATCGTTTCGCGCCATGCTGTCACTGTCATCCAGCATACATGTGAAGCAAGTGGAGTCTGGAATAGTGAACGTGCATGGGATTACAAGATATATGCTTATCAGAGGGCAAAGGAATCGTCCAAAGAAGCGACGTGCAGATGAAGATACATCATGGAAACTTGCGCGTACTCATACTCACGAAGACTTGTGCATGTACATGGTATGAGCAGTGCCACCATGGGCTGTGACATGATATGAGCACTGCTCGTACCATGTTGTAACATGAGGATACATTAGAAACCAAGACTAGCTTTTAAAAGCGTGCTGTAAATTAGTTTTCAGGGTGCACTCACACTTACCGGTACCTTTACTACACTTTCGGCGGCTTGACCTATCATTTGATGAAAAAAAAAAAAAAAACAGAACGATGAGTGAAAAATTTTGAGTCAGTACCCCTTTAAGAAATTCGCATAGATGGTGGAGCCCGATTTCCCTCTAGGTGTTTTTTTTGAGAAACTCTATGGCCATCATGATATCATGGAGTGGCGACTTTTTGCATCACTTGTGCCAACACCATTAGTACTGATGGCCTCTTCCTGCATTTGATGATGCACCTGAAGTTTTTGCCTTGAAGTCAAGGTTTGAGCTGAAACTGAACACAGGTGTCCTGCATGACAGTTAGTAGCTATCACATAGCCATAACTGTGCTTGACGACTGCTTTAGAAAACGATTCAATGCAGGGTGTCGCGCCAAGCGAAGTGTCACAGTACATGCATAAAATCCCAGAAATTATCACATTATGTAGGTAAATTATAGAACGATTGTGTGCTTTCCTTCCCATAGAAAATAGCCGAGCTAAATTAATAATCACTAGCATAAGCATTAACAAACTGCGCAGGTATTTATGTATGAGCACATATATGTGCTCATATATTGTCTTGGAAATATGTAGTGTCACCATTGTGCTCAACTTTGAATCGCAGCAAAGTGGGTACTTTGCAAATCGCAATCCCTTATTTACAATGACCAGGCCAATTATATGTGACAAACCCAACGGTCTTTTTTCTAATACCATGGGTGAGGAGCCTGCAGTTAGAAACGAAGCGCGGCAAACAAGCGAAAAAATGATGCGAACGAAGCTCGATAACGCTATAAATAAAGGTGAAGCTGAGGCATCCTTTAAGCTTCGCTTTATAATTGAGCGAATGAGCACGGACCAACAATTATAGTCACTGAAAGGGGGTGCACGCATTGTGGGAGATGGCCTTGCCTGCATGACCAGCAGTGTCCACCTGCGCGTCTTGCCCGAACATTTTCCACGCGCGCTCTTCACCACGGTCTTCCTTTACGCCACGACAGCATCATTCGTGTGGCTCTCCCATAACATTTATGCCAGCTTCAGTGGGCCATGACAAATTTCTGGCGCACTGAAAACCGGAAGAAATCCCAGGGTGGCGTGAACATAGCTCACCGATCACCAGTGCACCTCTTGTCAGCGAGAAGCAAAGAAAAAAAAAAAGCACAGAACATTTGCCTGCCATTGACGGGGGAAAGAAGCCGAGATGAAAAGGGCGAAATAAAGTAAATGAATGAATGGATGCTTTTTCTTTGTTTTGCACTGCGGGAATATTAACGAGAATAACTGCGAACCACTCTACTCACCCTCCATACAGCTGCGTCGATTCGTGCGTCGCTGGAAAATCCTCCAACACAAACTCAGAAGACCACAGACAAACTGCGCCGCAAAACACCGCGTGCTAGTGAAGTGCTCACTGACGACAGCGCTGATATTCTAGCGACGAATCTAGTAACAGCGCAACAGCGCCTTTTCGAAAGTTTATTAAAGGCGCGCACAAGGTTGCCGCGTCGCAGCGACACTTCCTAAATTTTAGGAAACTCAATGCCACTACACCATTGATCGCCTAAAAAAAATACCGACTACACCCACAAATAAGATGACTTGTTTACAAAGCTCTTTAACATTTTCGAATCCCACTACTTGAAAAATAGTTACGGGTTATATTCTCGTTTACTTTGGCATTCAAAAGCCGTGTCGGATGATACAAAAACCGAAACCGTAATGAATGATCTCATTCGCGACCTCGGCTCACTTTTGACGTGCTTCGCGTGTCGCAAGAGCAGGCAGTCGAGTTGTTCGTGTTGTAAACTCCTGGCGCAATAGAACTTCTGCGCTTAGATCGCGGTATGTTTTCGGCGCACGTGCCCAACTTTCGCAATTTCGGTTCGTAGATCTGGTCACTCGAAACTCGAAGAGGAGGGATGAGTTTTCCTGCATTCACGAGGATACGAAGAAGCACTGTGGTTGTGTGTCGCCCAAGCCGTGTTCTTAGTTGATGAACTCTCTCTGGGGTGTCACGGGAGGACAAGGACTCGCCTTTTTGCTGTGAGTCTACTTTAATGCACCTAACGTAGCGCTTGAATGGTTGTCGACAAGTGTTTTGTGTATGGCGTGCTCCCTGCGGCGTTTGATCGTCCTGGGGAGATAAGAACGAACGTGTGATACTCGTTAGCGTAGATACCACGTTGTTTCGTGGGATCAAGAGATAGTTATGTGCAGTAAAGTTGCATTATAAAAATGTTTGATTGACCTCTAGACGTCCTATGTACCGTGCATCACCTGTGAACACACCAAAGCACTGTGATGCCACCCGACATTACATTTTCCCCCTTCTGCCTCGTTACTGTGCTGGCGAGCACGATTTGAAGGTTGTCGCACCACTGCCGACCGGCCTAGCATCACAGGAGCCTAGCTGCAGCGTGTTTCAGAACAGTGAAAATCAGAATTTAGCAATAACCTTCTTTACCTTTATTTATTTCTTTTTATTTTACCATCTGTATGCATAGTAAATTTCAGAAGTAGTAGTGCAATACCCAACGATAAGAAAAAAAAAAGGGGGGGGGGGGAAGGGACGTAAATGCTGTAATGGATCTAGTAAATTCAGGCACAAAGGTGAATACTGCAAACACTTGCACCATAAAAAAAAAGAGATGAATTTTATTTTTATTAATTGATAAAGGAATTAAGCGAAATAATTGATTGTTGAACAAAACACAAAATGGCTAATTAAAGTAATTGCTGTTTTAGAGGTATTCTTATATGGAACGGAGTCAGTGATGCTTAATTGTAAATAATGCTCGCTGGAAATTCAATTTATTACAGGTTCTTAGGAGATATGATAGGGCATATGTTAGTGTGTTGCAAAGGGGGAATGCAACTTTTTGTTGCTGGTTACGACAAAGAGAAATGAAAAAAGCAGGTTAGATTAATAGGGAACAAAGCATAGAATTATTCGATAAAAAAATGATGAAGTGGGCAAATGGAAGTGTGCTTTAGACAGATATCTAGTGGAAAGAAATTTGAAGATGCCTTTATTTGAGTCACACTAGCTGAACGATTGTAGTTATAAAATGAAACGAGGTGCACGATTCTGAACGTATTACAACATGTAACACGTGATAATATCACATGATCAGAGTCTCGAAGATAAAAGCCTATTCTATATGAGGACAGACATACCGGGCATATTTGAGAATAAACAGTATCTCACAGATAGCTAGTGAAATGGGATTTAGAGATTACTTCATTTGAGTTACACTAGCTGAATGGTTGTAGTTATAAAACGAGGTGCACGACTCTGAACGAATTGCAACATTGTAATGATGAATTCTTCATCGGGCCGTCCTAATGAATATTCAGATGTGTTGGCAATGTTGGCGTCTACTGCGTTCTCCCCAGACGCTTTATGCCTGGGGCATGAAGGTGCTTAATCGCTCCCACTGCTGGCGACTGCCATTTTGCCATGGCACCTGTGACGTCACGTGCAGCCAGAAGTGGTGCCGTCGTCTTCTACCGCAGTTTCAGCTGCTGGAAGTTGGTCAGTTTATGTGCAGAGCAGAGGAAAGTTAAAAAATAAATTTAGAAGATTCCACGTACCTTGAGAATCAATGTTATGCGAAGTATGCGGAGGGGAGGGAACCGTGTTATAATTTTTTTTTATTGAGCGACAGGTGATGAAATGATGCTTAATATATGTATAAATGTTGCATGCACACACATATGTTGAAAGATTGTAGATTTTTGTATAACTTGTTGTTTGCACTTGTGCAACGATGCCAACAGGAACATGACTGTTAGCAATACCAGAAACAATAAGCTGATATGAAGCGCTAGTGCTCGCGAGAATGGCAGTCCTGGACACTGCTACGTAAATCAACTCCAGTGCACAGCGCCCATCTGCAATTGGCGTTAACGCGGCGTGACGGCTGTATCGAAAGAGTACAAATGCAAGCTTTATAAAACCAGATAGCCAGCACGGCAACCACAACTGACGTTTGACGAATAGTAGGGTCCTATTTGAAAAATACATCCAAGACCAAGCGGGGCTCTGTGGTATATGCTTGATTGCCACACGGGTTGCTTGAATTCAATTCCTTCTGGGACCCTGACATTAATTCTTTGCATTCATAAAGTCAAGGGCGTGCGTTGAGGCAAGCCCTTGACGTCCCCTTATGTGAGGCCTAGGCCAGGCCACCTAAACCTGCTGGTTTCTTATAATAAAGTTGATTCCTCTCATCAAGTCAGCACTGCTGATGTGAGGTTATTGTTGAAGAGCCGGTAAACCACCTCCGATCTTTTTCAAGCATTTCAGGCAAACGCAGCGCATCGTGTGCAGAATGCTGTCGCGAATAAATTATTCTCTGCGTGGCAGCGCTGCGAGCCGCTGGCGCACCACAAATTCCCAAAATCAATCCCTCCTCCTTTCCAGACATCCGAGCGACGCGCCGTGCCACATCTTTGACGCGCCAAGCCAATATACTGTGGTTGGTCGAGCAAGAGCCTACGACTTCCGGTCAGTCAGCAAGCAGCTGTCCGCGCCGCTTGTTGCACATGCAACACGTGTGGGGCAAGGTGTGTCCCCGTACAGTCCATTGCGTTGACGACCCTTTGAAGACCTGCGCGCAACGCAGGGTCCATACCAGCACGATTACGGCAGCCACAGTTCCTCAACTAGCACGCAACTGATGGAGTTGACGGCCAGAGTCGCGGCAACCGGAAGTAGATGGTGTTTGAAACAGCCTGTCAGCGATGACGTATGCCACGCAAAATTGGGAGGGGCACTCAGCTAGAGAGCAAAGCAGCCTGAGAGAGGATACCAGGGGAGGGAAGTGCAGGTGAGAGTGAAAGGTGTGGTTGTCAGGGTTTTGATAATCAAATGCATCTAACTCCACTATTACTGCACCGTTTCGAAAAATTTTTGTGGGTCCGTGTTTGTCGTACACCCATTCACAATTTCCCCACCACAACTGAATTTCAACCTTTGGGTTGTTCACAGGGCCTTTAGAACTCACGTGTTAAAATTGCCAATGTGCATTCTCATTGTTTCTGGGTGGACACCAAGTTTCAATCACCTGTGGAACATACCTGTGTTTCAGTGGCACGTACTCGTGAAAGGGTATGTGCCCCTGTCTGGCGGTAAGTGTTGACGGCGTACGCGATGGGATTGTGGCATTATTCAGGTGTTGACCAGCTCGTCAAATTTGTCATATGATTTTACCCTCCCATTCTAATTTTGGTTTGTGCCAAGTTGTGGGGGTGACCGCAAGAGCACCTAGACGTAAGGGGCTAGATAGACGGATGGACAAACGCCGAAAGTGCATGCTGTACGCAAACAATTGCTTCGTGTTTAATAACTCGATTTAATGCACTGCTGATCACAAAGCAATATGGTTCACCGTAATGTAGACCCTCACGCAGCCAGTGGCTCGTTACATCATGACTCGAGAGTATGCCAGTGTTGGCCGACTCTCAGGCCACTCGCGTCTTTATATAAATATTCTGCTATAATTTAACTGCTCGACCGAATGCGCTAAAATTTAACCAGATTATTTGTGAATGCACAAGGATTAAACCACACAACACAGATTAAAAATTAGGTGTCATGTCTGTCGTGTTTAATCTGTGTCAAACACAGATTAAAAATTAGGTGTCATGGCCCCTTTAAGCTGGAGGCTTAGGGGGCTGGACCTTGATACACTGATGCCCATGAGTTTGCAGTCTATTCATGCCTGTATATGCTCACTTGGTGATGCGAGGTAGCACTGCTCAAACTGTTGAGAACATTTCTCAGCAATGTGCTGTAGAGGTGAAATATAAGAATTGCTTTTTCCGATTTCCAAAGCTACATAACTGAGAGATGCCTTATTCATTATGAATAAAAAGGAAATGTGAGCGTCGAATGGCTTTGAGTAGGTCACGCGCCTTTCAGATGTGAGCACAAGAAAGGACATGCCGAACCACTCTGATTACTTTTGACCCTACAGACTGTACGAAATATTTTTTACCAGAAAACTTATGCTTAAGTCACTATTGCATCTATTTCAAAAGAAAGGCAAGAAGGGAAAGATGGGAGCGTGTTAAACTGGGTGGATGTCAATGTTTTGACAAGTGAACTTGCTTTTTCTAGGTTGCTACTGATTTTCTGAGGGCTCGTGTGTATATGCTCTGTACCTGATCCAAAGAAAGGAGAAGGAGACGGCAGCTACGGAAGTGGTGCGGTAAAAAATGAGATACCTCTGCTGTGGTGATCTGGTTAAGGAATTCTGTTTTATTCAAGGAATTTTTTTTTTTTTTGAGAAAGCTAATACAGAAGGTGTAAGCAATGACTTTTTGCAACTGCCAAGCATATATACACCGAATACAGAACAATCTTAAAAATTATATCTATACATAAAGTTAGTTTCAAGAGAAATTCATCCCGCTACCTACTAAATTTCGGCACTAGTATAAAACCCTCTTTTGTGACAACATTTTTATGGGACACTGTTGGAATCATCTCTAGTAAAGCCCTTGACCTTTTTCACCTGTGAGGAGTGTAGTGTGGTGTTATTGGTGAGGTGTTCTCGGTGCAATGTTATTCAAGGATTTTTTTTCTTTTTTGAGAAAGCTTATACAGAAGATGTAGGCAATGACTTTTTGTAACCGCCAAGCATATATACACCAAAGACAAAACAATTTCAAGAATTATATCTAAACATAAAGTTAGTTTCAAGAGAAATTCATCCCACTACCTACAAACTTTTGGCACTGCTATGGAAACCTCTTTTGTGACAACATCTTTATGGGAAACTGTTGGAATCATCTCTAGTAAAGCCCTTGACCTTTTCCACCTGTGAGGAGTGTAGTGTTGAGTTATTGGTGAGGTGTTCTCGGTGCAATGTTATTGTTGTGTCGCAAGTGGTGCAAACGCGGGGCTGTGACGAGACAGCGGCACCACACAATGGACACGTGCACAACGAAAAGGAGGACGACATCGGCAGGGCACAGCACTTGCTGAGTAGATGAGGGAAATCGGACGAAAACTAATTACAGAAGCTAGCACGGAGATGGGGAGGAAAACGACGCCGGGCTGTAACACTAGGCAGGGAGACCCGAAGAAGCCAAATGAACCCGACACTGGTGTCAGGGTTCGTGCTGTCTAATTTTGGAGCCAAATATGAAGGGCCTAACAGCGTTAAATGGTCTTCGGAACCAAACGCTCATGCTTGCTGCTGCTGCTTGACCAAGGGCCCGTTGCCAGCCACCGTGTGACGTACATGGGCAAAGAGGTCTGCGTTATGCCTAGACTTTCAGTCAGCAACGTCTCAACCTTCCTGTTTTCTCGTTCACCCTAAGAGTGCCTGTGCCACCAACTCAATGCCCCAGGCACTACAAGCAACACAACAACAGATGACTTTTTTTTCTTCATTACGTTAAGCGGAAGTTTTATGAGTCTTGCGAGTTTTTTGTGGTGGTCGGAGTAGTGTTGTCGTAGGCTCACGTTAACTATTTCTTCCAGTTGTTTGTAGTTTTATTCTTTCGCTTTTCCGTGTGTGATAGTCATATTTTTTTTAGTGTTGGAAAATGGCTATTTCCTTTCTCTGTCCGAGGCCGTGAATTAAGTGAAACCATTCACAGAACACGAAACTCGCATTACATCACCTATTCGCACTACATAGACAACATATATATCCTATGAGAACATCGCATAAAAGCACTAAACACACACATTTACATAGTAGCAAGTTTCACTCTAGTATTAAATTCACTTTCTACCTTTCTTCTGGTGAGATTCACTTTCTAGACACGATCTAGACACAGGAAAAATTAAAGACCACGCTCTACAGAAAACTGACAGACGGCTGACATTACCTACATTACACTAATCGCCACCCATGACACTGCGAAAGAGGTATGTTTGTAAAACAGATGAGCCGTATAAGAAGGATCTGCAGTGATGATGATGATTACGTTCACCACTTAGACAGCTTAAAAAAACATTATTTGAAAAAAAATTACGTAGACGATGTCCTAAACTTGGTGTACAACAAAGCACATAACTTTAACAGGAAATCAATGGTAGCTTAAAAAGCGCCCGTAGCACATACCCACCTCCCGATAGCATTTATATAACCAAATACTCTAATACACTTACAAACATAAATAACATCCTCCGCAAGTACTGTCCAATATTAAAAAGCAACAAGAGGTTTAGAAAGGCATTTCCCGAAAGTGTCAAAGGTTTTCTATCACTGCAATAGGAATTTTGAGGTCATGTTTGGGCATGATGAAATAAATCCTTATTTTAATACCCACATAATGCCTTGTTTCCATCCAAGATGTAAGACTTGCAAACACTTTTAAGATGAATTTATAGTTTAAAGTACAAAACAGATTATGTACAGCTTATAAAATTAAGTTTTACCTGCACTAGTTCAAATGTTGTCTACTTGACCAAATGTTCTTATTGTCGCAAGTGGTACATTGAGGAAACAAAACAGCCTGTTAACATAAGAATTAAAGATGAAATGGGCATCACATGGAAATGGCAACGAAATTACCAAAAGCAGCAGCACATAATTTTAATGTAGCAGGTCACAACTTTGATAACCTCAGACTTTACATCCTCCAGCCAAACTTCCAGTCACCAAGGGACAGAAAATACGGCCTTACCTTATTCACAAGTTTAATACAGTATTTCAGCCAACGGGTATACCATTTCAAAAGGGGCTCTTGAGTTCATGCGATTTGATAGATACTCAACGGAAACCAATAAGTGTCAAGTCCTTCTTTCAGGAATTTCAAACATACCATTGTTTAGTGATGCTTTCTTCTGACAACCATAATTCAGCTGCACGTGTACACTCCACCCCCATTTGACGGATTACCTTCCTTCTGACTCGCCCAGTTTGCAATGGCAGCCTCTTGTTGTTCCGCATCCTCTTCCCCACTATCGTAGTTGCCATCTTTTCTCCCCTCGTTTGTATCGGAGCACAGTGTATAAAGCATATACACACAGGTGCTGAAGAAATAAGATATAAAACAGCACTTTTGCATACAGGACGAAAGAGAGAAGAGGCACCGATGACAGTGTGTGTGCATCTCTTCTTTCCTTCGTTCTGTGTGTAAAAGTGCTGTTTTATATTATTATCACAGAACTTCACAAGCTCGCCCAACAAGTCCACTTGTCTAAGCTTCGGTTCCAGCACCCACACTGTGCTTATGAATTTCTTACTGCATTCATTTGCTACATTTCATGTAGTAGGGAAACTTTGCTGTATCAAGAACACTCATAGAGTTGAGCTTTTTTTCAATGACATTCTCGATTTCTTACACTATGTGTCAAGTGTGTATGTAAAATCACACTTTTCTCCACACCACATATTTTGTCATAATAATGATTAACTCTTTACTGCCGAGTGTCGCGAATTCGCGACATGCCAAGAAACTCCAAGCAGGCAAGTCACAAAATGTATGTCGTCTTGAATGCCGGCTAGGTATCACTCATGCAAAATGTAGCTTTCAGCATGGAAA